CATTTTTAATCACAAGATATTACCATTTTAAAATTTGTGTTCAGGTGATGCAATACTTTTGAGCGCCACTGTATATTATATCATATATGTATATGGGAGCGTTTTCCAGTAAAATCACATTACGGATCATATGACTTACAATTTCTTCCGTTATATCCAGTAGTTATTATACATTATCACCTTGCAAACTAAGATTTATGTCGTTATGATCTTTATTTTTGAAAGTATCACATTTGTAATCATCCAAGAAGAGTAAATACCAAAAGTTCCGTTTAGGTTTTTTACTTTTTTGTATTACGTCTGAAATCAAGAATGGCCCATTGATTCAATAGAATATTAGCATACTACCATCATCCATAAATCTTTTGGCATGCTCGTTCAATTTTTCACCCTTATGGGTCAGTTCAACTCCCCAGCAATATCCATGAGAAAAGCTACAGCATTGTCTGCGACGTATACATAAAAGGAGTAAAGATACTTCTCAATTACTGCTTTAGCTGTACAAAACCACTCCATCAGCCATCTCTCGTATAAATATAACTAATCTTTCAAAGTAGATGGACTCATACATTCAATAGTTCGCACCAAAAACTCATTGAATGTTTTTGCAGGTGATTGATTAATTTTAAAGAAGCTTTGAACAGACAATATAGTTGCCTGACGAAACTTCCGGGTTTAGACAGACTGGACAGACTGTCGAATGTCGAAAGTATCAAAACCTTTCGAAACCTGTCGAAACCTGCCAAACTATATTAAACTGTCGAAACCATATTAAGGACTTATTAAAACCTGTCAAAACTAGATGTTTAGAAATCAAAATAGGTTTCATCAGGCAACTATAACTCAGCATTATGGGGCAGAAAATATTAATCGTTCATCATCAGCATTAATCATAGAGAATAGACCCATCTTGATATATTTCTTAGGAATAGAGTCACCAGAAAGGTTTTGATAACCTATCGCAAATAAATTTTAGAATCTTCAATCCAATAATGGGTCCAATGAAAAGCCCGCGCGGTTTCAATTATTATGAAATAATAGACGTGCTGAAGCAAGATATTGCAACATTTCCACAGTTTCTCCATTTTCAGCGTAACTTGGTTATAATAAATCGACACAAAACAACACCCAGCAGTGAGATTAAATAATGCCTCCTGAACTGAGACAGGAATGATAAATTTCGAGCTACCCAAAATAGCATAACTCTGAATAAAACCCGCTATAAGTTGTGGGATTCACCCCACGTTAGAAGCAGGCCACTCAAATTACGTGTATGATGAATATCAAAAGGTGTCAACATTTGGATCCGAGTAAACTATATGAAAATTTTGAAGATTTGATTCACTTGACGAAAGATTCTTTAATGCAGTGATGTACTCTTGGGAGATTGGAAGAACTATTGGAGACACCTTTAGAAGGTTTAAAAGCATAATTTTCTAATAAAATCATTTGGCTTGAAAGCTTCCAATCAAAATTTATATCATTGTAAGTATAAATGCACATTACTGCTTTAATGTATCCCAAAAGAATGGAGTGTATTGGCATAGATAACCTGCATTTTATCAATGATAACATAAATAACTTCTTCACATTTGCTATTCTATGACCAATTTCAACCTTCCATTAATTATCCAATTTGTTATTATTATATATTTCTTCTTTACCAGTTATACTAGAAAGAGTTAAGTATATACTATCACAGAGATTTTTGAAATAATCTGTTCAAGAGTATTTTTGCCTAATAATGGGAATTATGCAAAATAACAACTTGATAACTTTTCATAAATTCAGTAATATATTTGAATCTTCATCTGGAATTTAAATGCAGCATAATATTCTGTAGATTTATAATTTTTGTAATATTTTAGAATATTATATTGTAAAATTACGCAAGTTTATGAGTTCGTAAGATTTATAAACCATTATGGTGAAATCCTACGTAGGGTTACAGATTGTATTTTTTATGTAAAATAACAGTCAAAATCTTACATAGGGTTACAGTTATACATGAAGTCAAAATAAAAGGGCAAAATGGTCAAAATGATATCATATCACATGATTTTCATATAGAAAAATTCTAAAAAATCAAAATGTACAATCTCAATTAAGATATTCATGATTAAATTTCGAAATCCAGACCCCTTTATTTAAAAGTAGAATTTATTGATTTATAATTTTAGCTGATAATACAATTGCGATTGAATGATTCGAAATTAATGAATGTTAGCTCATTGGATTCGTCTAGTTGCGAAAAATCGAATAATAGTTGTTTCATATATATCAGAGCGGTATTGACTGAGATTGTACATTTTTTGTTTTTTGTTTTTTGTTTTTTCTTTATATAAAAAATCATATAATATGACATCATTTCAATTATTTCGTAACTTTAGCCTCTAATAGTCGAAATGATTTTGATCACCCAAAAATTTTTGTTGAAAAACATCACTGTTCAAAGACGCCTGTAGGTTAATCTGTGAACAACTTTGATTACTCTATTAATTAAATATGTTTTTCTTTTTAAAATCTCCCTTTTGTATTAATGCATAAAAGTATTATTGTTAGTATATATGAAAGTATTTTTCAAATTTTTTACTTTTCATTTATTCAATATCTTTTATTTTTCTTTTTTTCATTTTTTTAATACGTTATTAAAGTAAAGTAGGCGTTAAGAGGTATCCGAAATTTGCAAATTAACATTTGCTTTGATAGTATAAAAAACGCCTTTTGCTTTTCCTTTTTTTTGTTTACTATTTATTTTTTATCAATCAAAGAGCTGCAGCAGTTACATAGTTCATACTAGAACCTTTTATAGAAATTATAATCTAAGCGTTAATTGAATGTATGTCACCAACTTGGCAGAGGTTGACTTTAAAGTCAGGTTTCATTTATTATGATAATTGGATCTGCAAAACTTGGAAGATGTAGAGAAATTGTTATTGTCTAATCATACCTCTAGGAATTTTTCTTTTTTTTTGTTGTGTATTAGTTTTCCTAATCAGTATGTATATTGTAATTGATGAGTTAACAATATGTCAAACCATCTGCTATTAAAAAGGTTTCTTTAGTTTTAAAGCTTCACCAAAATAGACAAGTTAGTTTGAATTTTCTTTTAAGTTTCACCAACTGGTAAAAGAATTCTGTGTACCCTCTATAGTTATAGGAAATATGAGCCTTTTAGTAGGAAGGAGGCCTATATTAATTTTGTTTATATTTCTTTTAGCGTGACCATTTTGGAAGAATATCGAAGAGCATCTGCATAATTCTTTTTAACTGAAACAGCTAATAATATTCAATTTCGTTAGCATAATCTAAGTAGTTTCTTCTTTGTATATCCTCTTTTATTTTATTTTTTATTTTTTTTTTATTTCTTTATATTATATGTATTTTATTTTTTTAGTTTTTTAAAAGGTTAAGTTGTTGATATTTTATGACTCGATAAATGTTTATCTTGTGTTTTTCACAGAAACTCACTATGATAAAGATCATTGAAAATGGACTTTTAATGTAGTTACAAGGAATTGTTATACTTTCTATAGTAATTTTTGTTTTACAATTATATCTAATAAAGTTATGACATGATCTATATTGTTAAAATAAATGATTTTGACTATTTTGACTATTTTGAATATCCAAAATAATCCATTTCGACTTCATATATAGTTACAATACTATAAGATTTATGAAATATTATGGTCAAAATCTTATGTATAGTTACAATATCATACGAAATCTTACATAGTATTACGATTTTCCATCATAGATTTAAAATTAATGATATATAGTTTGCATTATTTAATATAAGCAATAAGTATATACTTTGTATCTTTTATTGATTCATATATATTTTAGCTTTTAAGAAATGTCATTTTTAAAATATTTAATTGCATATGTTCTAATGAAATAACATTAAATTACTGTGTTAAAAATTATAATTTAAAATCATATAAACATGTTAACAATTAAATTAAATATATTTAATTCAGCATAAGTTTTAATTAAATTTCTATATTAAAAATATATAATTCAGAATCATATGCATATATTATAATAAAATAGTGTTAAATATAATTAAATTTCTGTATTAAAAATATATAATTAGGGGATAATGATCTTCTGCTTTAAGCAGAAACCCGCAGATTTAGCAGATTTATGGAAATTAATGAATTATTGCAGATTTTTAAAAAAACTGTGTTCTATATACCAATCATATTAAATCTTTTTTTTAAGGTTTATTAATTTTTGTTATATTTTTTTGTGTTTAAAATATCAAGAAAAGTGACTTACATCATAAGTAGAATTAAGGAGTTTTTTAATATATACTAAAGATAGGTACTATAATTAAGAAGTTGCAACTCGGTAAGTTGCAACTCCTTGTAAATTTATTTTAATATAAAAATTCATAAATAGTTGCAACTCAAAGAGTTGTAACTTAAATTGCAATTAGTTAAAAATTTTAAAAATAATTATGGAAACCATCTTTAGTTGAAGCCTTTATTTAGATAATGTTTTAAATTCATGATTGTAAAAAATGTATATTATCTCTCTATTATCAAAAAAATTTCAATAAGCTTTTGATCCAGATATTATATCATTTATAGTAGTACTGTTACTGGCTTAAGCCTATTAAAAAGATTTGACACTCCTTACTGGTTATCAGCTACTCAGGATCACATATCACTATATGATTGAAAGATCTATTACATCTTATACCTTATTAGGATATATTTTAGGTTATAAAAATATTTGTACTAAACTTGAGAGTATTCAGTTTAATGATTTACCTATAGCAATAAGAAGGCATTGTGAATAGGATAAAATATTATATCATATAAATTTGATCAATCATCTGCCATAATATTATATCTTAGAGTTAAGCATTGGAAACATCTTTCTGTAAGAAATTTCATTAAGATAGTACAGTCCCAGCCAAAAGTAATGGCGGTAGGGATGATACTTAATTTTTTAATTGTAATATCTCTATTATTCTGATTTATCACATTA